GGGGGGGGGGGGGTGCCTGTTCCCTTCTAGGGGCCCTGCAGCCACCACAGGCTGGTCTTTACTGTGTAGAGACCACAACCCCTCACTGGCTGGGGCCACAGCACCCATTCTCCCATTCCATGTCCCCCAACAGTGAGATGAGGCAGAGATACCAGGGGACCTCGAACAGCCCTGGGCTCTGCAATAGGGAGCCCTCCATGCCCAGGAGCTGGAGGCCATACCTCAGCCCCTAAGGGTCCAAGCAGCTGATACCCTGCCTCCCAGGACAGGTACAGGGAGCAAATGGAGTCCTTCCTGGTGCCCACTCACTCCTGTGAAGCCAGCACCCGCCATGTGGGTGGTAGGGCGTACATGCCTCCTGCACACAGGATCTCCAGTCTTATCCAGGGCACTTGTCCTCTAAATGAGCCACCGCCACGCTTGCCACCTCCCCCTCTGCAAGGGTATGGGCAGCCTGAGTTCTACCCATGCACACATGCATGTATTGTGCATGCGCACTGTGAGCTCGTGGGCACATGTGCATACATGTGTACAGGCATGCCTGTGTATATGTGTATGGGCTGTGAGCTCCTGTGTGGACATGTGTGGACATGTCTGCATGCAATAGTTTAAAAGCAACTTACTAAAGAAGGAATTAAGATCGTGGGAAAGAAAATTGCCCCCATCTGCCCAATACTTTGTGTGTCTGGGCCAGTGCAAAGGGTATGGGAACCTATGGCACCCCCTGGCGGGGTGACCTGCCCCTGGACACGCCACTTAGCTCACCTCCATCCCAGCCCTTCTGCAACATCCCCAATAGACACAGCTCTTGGGTTCCTTTACTCCTGGGTCTGTCCCGCTTTCTCTCCTGGACACAATGGGTTTACAAAGGCCAGTGCTAAAGGCTGGAGAACCTGCCCAGAAAGCTGAACAGAAGGCCCATGCTGGGCCTCATCTCAGTCCCTGTTCCCAGCTCCTCCTCACCTGCACCCCACCTCCTGCTCTTCCTTACCCGCACTCACCCCTTTCTTCAAGTCCTGGCCCACACTCTCCTCTGACTCTGGGCCTTGGGAAGGCCCAGGCTCACAGGAAATGGAGGGTCCACCAGGGTCCCATATCCTGTGCTATTGTGTCCTTGGGGCTCTGGCCCGACTGCAGTAAATCTGAAATGGTTCCACCTCTTCAGGTGAGTCGAGTCCCCTCTACTTGGCAAGTGCCTATCTCTTGTGCCCCATGACTAGATCCCGACGGTTGGCCCTCAGGGGCCACTTGTGAGGCCACCTCCACCCTACCCCAGCCAGGCCACCCCGTGTGCAACCTGCCACTCAGTGGCAATGAGCCAACCCCGGGAGAGCTGGCTGTTAGGCTGCCTCAGGCGGCCGTTAGGATGGCAGGCAGGCTGAGGAGCTGGGAGACCTCACCGTCATGGAGATACACCAAACGTTTCCACAAGCGAAGTGGTGACATGAAGTCACAGGCTCTGGAGGCACAAAGAAAAACTGGTCGCTGCCTCCTGCTCAGAAGAGGATGGGTGGAGAGGAGCCAGGCAGGCCATTAACAGGGAGGGAGCCGGGGCACATGAGATGAAAGGCGGCAAGGTCACAGCAACATACAGCTAAAGGATTACACCAACCACGATGGACACAGGCCAAAAATAAGCTGAAATAAAGCCATTTTCCAGCAACAAGTATGACCTGGATAGAGAGGGCTGGACATCTGGTGGCCTTGGGGACTCTCTAAATTTTCTCACGTGTGGTCACGGGTTGAGGAGGGCAGGAGAATATTTTCACACTCCAGAGACACCAGGGGAATGGGAAGGGTGTGTGTGTAACCTTTCCTGGGTAGGTGCAGGAGCACATGTGCACATGCGCATTCACACACGTGCAGCACCCGTGTCTTCACAGGTGCACAGGAACATACACTTGCATGCACACAGGTGTATTTGCACACAGAGGAAGCACACGAGCATAATGCTCACAGCCGCTGAGTCACAGGTGAAGACTCGGGTGCTAACTGCTCTGTTACCTACACTCTTTGTCATGTGTGATCATTCCCAAAGCACAGGGGAGCCCCATGGAGGGGCAGCAGGCAGGGCAGGTGAGATGCAGGTCACACCATAGGGGCAGGCTTCACAGTGGCACCTCTCGGACTCACCCCACAGTGGGCCTGGAGCTCTGCCACCGAGACTCCTCCAAGCTACCGAGGGCAGAGTAGCGTCCCCCTCCCTGGCTCCCAGCCTGCCCCAAGGCAGCTTGTTCTGGTTCCAATTCCTGGGCATGTGATTCTGGGAAGGGAAGGATCTTGAAGCATCACACTTCCTCACAGCCCGTTAAGACACAAAGCCCAGCAGCGGACCCTGGACGTGCGGCCTGGCTGAGCACAGGCCTCTGGGAAGCTGGCTCTGCCATATGAGAGCCCCGGCTCACTTACTTGATTTTGCTGAACACGATGTCCACGTCGGTGACAGTCACGTTCTTCCCGTCGATCACCTGGCAGTCCTTGCACAGTTTCGACCAGTTCTTGCCATGCATCTCCTTCCCGGTGGCCCTGGTGTCCCCGTGCACCGCGAACCGCCGGAAGGCCTCCTCCAGAGCAGTGAGCTCCGGGGCCAAGGCGGCCGCCCCCTCGTTGGCACCTTCTGACTCCAGTGACAGCCTCTTAGCAGCCTTGTCCTTTGCAGGGTCCCCTGGGGACTTGGGGGGCGTCTTGTTGGCGGCTTTATTGGGCTTGGCCTTGCTGTCGGCCATGTTTCTGGTGGAGGAAGGAGAAAAGAAAGGGGTTATTCTGTTTCTGCAGGGCCTCTGTCCAGGAGCCAAGCTCTGGGCATGAGGGGGCAGAACCCCTGTCCAGGTGGCCACAGCAGGATGACTCTCTGCCTCTGTGAGGCACCTGATCCCCAAAGCTGGGCTGGGTCCCCGGGGGGCTCAGAAGATAGGAGCCCGTGCTGCCTCTAGCAGGTTTCAGGAGCACAGAACACCGATGCCTCCCCATTGCTGCAGCCATGCAGCCCCTACTGCATCATGGCTGCTGGCCAGGGCAAGACCCTGAGATGCCCAGGCCCAGAGTAAAACCCCCATGGGTCCCTCAGGAGTGGCTCATCTCTGTCTCTGCCTCACTGACAATGGACACTGCCAGGGGCTCAATGAAAGGACAGAACTCAGGACCCACTGGCGCACAACACAAAACCTGGTACCACGAATAGCAAGCTGGCTCACAACTCCACCATTCACTAAAAATCGCCTCCAAATTCACATCCTCAATACCCGTTAGAATGGAGGAAGATGAGTGATCGGGCCTTATGGGGGGTCCTGGGGGGCCTGCTGAACTCAAGATCCTACCAAGTCCCAGTAGGGAGAAGTCAAATGCCCTTCACCATTGGACTGAAGTCCTCAGGGGCTGCACGGGCCGTGGCCCCGCCCTGTCCCCCCTCCTCTGTGATGGCGCAGAAAGTACACCCGCTGCTGAGAGAACCCCGTACACCTGATGATGGAGCACAGCTGGCTCCGGGCACAAATGAGAGTTGGGGCCGCATGTCCGGCTTCCCACAGGGTTCAGGTGCGGGACAGGGAGTGGGATCTCTCCAAGGGCCCCACAACAAGCTGCTCAGGCACAGCACATCCCTCAGCCCACAAACTCGCGCTGGGCACACGGTTTTAACAAGCTGGGAGATCAGTCTCCACAGTCAATTAAAAAGTGAGGGCTGAACAAGATGTGAGAAAGTTCTGTTGTCATAAGCTTTACTTTCCAGCTGGATTCAGGCAATAAACAAGTAAACAGATGAATGGTATGACATCAGGTAATAAGAGGTGCACTGAGGAGAATAAGGCGGGTGAGACGGTGGCAGCGAGTGTGACTAGACGAATTGGAAGTGGCGTGGAGACTGGAGCCGCACGAAGGCTCCGGCATGTGGCTCCTACGCATGAAGCGTCTGCTACCAAGGCCGCCCTGAACCCACCAGACAGGTGAGGTTCCTCCCAGACTGAAAACCCCTCGTGGTGGCAAGCAGACAGAAGAGGGAAGGCCAGACAGGATGCAGTCAGGCTGGCCTTGGGTCTCCATCTGCCGCCCTGGGCACCAGTAGAAAACGGACCGTGCTTTAAATGTTCTGAAGAAAAACCCTTCCAACCAGGGACTTGTACACTCACACCATGGCCCCCAGGGGTGAGGGGCCGAGGATGGCTGCAGACAGGTGAGCTCAGTGACCCTGCCACACTTGTCAAGCAGGCTGTTGATAGCAGACAGCATGGCAGGAATCCAGGGCTAACCCTGGAGAGGGTACAGGAGGCCTGGAGTAGGCAGGCAGCACTGGGAGGGGCACCTGGGGGGAGAGCTTGGGGGGAGCAGGCAGACAGCATCCTGAGGCCCTGCATCACCAGGAGAGCTCTCCAGTTTCAACCCGCAGGGCGGCTGGCCCAGGACCTTTCTCCACCAGGCAGTGCGCAGCTTCAGCCTTTGACTTCTCCCTCTCTAGCTGTGGCCCTGGGCGGCGTGCCCCTACTGCCAACACTGTTTCAGAGCTGTTTCTGAGTGTGTTGATGGGTTTTCACTTAGGAATCAGCTTGGAGTCTGTTCTCAGAGTCGATTCAAAGTGAGAGTAGACAGAAGGGCTCTGGAGTAATGACCGAGGTGGGCAGTGGGTGGAGCAGGGCACCTCCCAC